TCACAAAACCTTACTCACAAAATTAACTCATGTCAGCTTAGCTAAGAGATGGTCATATAGATCTTTTTGTAAGGATGGAAAACACTAGCAATGATCAATGGCCTCCTGTCAGGTGGGAATAAGGTGTCTGGTGAGTGACTGTGAGAATCAGGCATAATTCAGATCTTATCTAACATCTCCACTGAGAGCCAGAGTAATTGGTAGTTAATGGAACCTGTAAAGACACTGCAAACCTCCTGGGAGCCCTCTCTAGATCTGGAGAAAACCATCCAAGGAAGTCTAGAAATGATACAAAGAGCCTCAAAAACCATTTACTTCAAAAGTGTTTACTCCCTGCTCTGTGCCTTTGAGCACTGACAGGTTTCCTAGCTCAGGGAGGGACAGAACAAGTAAATCACTACAGCACAGTGAAAGGACGGCCAAGGTCATAGGTCAGTTTGGAAGCTAGGAGAGCTCAGGGTGGGGCTCCTAATCCAACCCAGGGGTCAGAGAAGGTTGCCCAGAGCATGTAGCACCTGAGCAGACTTCAGGAGCTCAGCAGCTAATTTGACACAGAGTTTGAGGAAGCAGTTTTGAATTGGACTATGTGGCCTGAAGTTCCTGTGGAGTTGCTAAGTGGAGTTACATAAGTCCAGAAGAAAGACCTGGGGTACAGATATGTCTTTGGGAGCCATCATCAAGTCATAGGTGTGGATAACAGCACCAAGAAAGAAACACATAGCATGAGACGAGTCCAGGGACAAGGACAAAGAGGGGGGAAACTCCTGCATAGAAAGGCAAGTAAGAGGGGTGCTTCCCAGTTGACGGGAAACAACATCCAGTGATGGGGAAGAACCTAGAGAGAGGGAAAAAACATAGTAGGGGCCAAGGGGAGAGAAAGTTTGCAGAAAGGAGGCATTGAAAGCTCAGTTCCACAGGACCATTAGGACCAAAGATGTGTCTGTCCGTACAGACAATGAACACTGTAACGACAAAAACACCATCTCTTGCTTACCTGGGTCTCTGTGCTTGCAAAGCACTTTCATACTTTGTAGTTCATTTCACTCACACCCCAGCCTATGGGACATTCTTACAGGTACAGAAGCTTCAGGGCAGTAGATTAAGGGATGTGTTAAAGCCATCTAGTAAATTAGTGAACAGGCTCCTAGAATTAGAGATTTCAGTCCAGAGCTTGGCCATGCTGCCTGGTTCTTCCTTTATCCCACAGTGAGCCACCAATGAAGAGATTGGAGGCGACCTGTTCCAGAACAGCTTCTTGTCGTTGGCATAGGTTTTTAAATATTTTCATTAATCTCTGAGAATTTTGTAGAATGTATTTTTACAATATTTACCCCTCCTACCCCAGCTCCTCCCAGATCCATCTCCGGCTCCCTACCCAACCAACTTCATGTCCACTGATTTTTTTAAAACCCATCAAGTCAAATTTGTGTTGTCCAAATACTCTTCAGGGCAGGGCACTGGAGCATAGTTAACTCACTAGGGAACCCACCCTTAAAGAAAATTGATTCTCCCTCTCCCAGCATCTATCACATGCCAATAGCTCCTCAGTGAAGGGTGAGATTTCAGGCACACCTCCCCCACCATGCTGGGGTTTTTGTCTGGCTTGAGCTTGTGCAGGGCTTGTGTGTGCTGTCACAACCACTGTGAGTTCATATGTGCAACTGCCTGTTATGTACAGAAAACACCGTTCTGTTGTAATCATTCACCGCCTCTGGGGGGAGGTGATATTGATATCCCATTTAGGGCTGAGTACTCCACAGTCTTATTCTCTGCACCTTGACCAGTTATGGGTCTCTGTGTTAATAACCATCTACTGCAAGAAACTCCTCTGATGAATCTTGAGAGCTGCACTAATCTATGGGTATATCAATAAATCATTAGGAATCTGTTTAATACTATGTTCATTTAACAGAATAATAGTAATAAGTTCTTCCCTACAACCTGTGATCTGTTAGCCACAGATTCTTGGCCCAGATAACAGTGCCAGGCATGGGTTACTTTTTGTGGAGTGGACCAATCAGAAAGTATTTGGTTTATCCCATAACATTAGTGCCACCATTGCACCAATGGGTATATCTTGCTAGGCCAGTAGCTCTTGGAGGTCACAGCTGGGTAAGTTTTACAATTACTTTTCTCCTCTGGCAGCATACATAGCACCTTCTACACTATCAAAGCTAGCCAGTAGGGATGAAGCTTCAAAGTCAGTGTCAGCTTGACTTGTCCAATCTGTGACTAAAGTATGTCATATCTTCAGCAATAGGGTCTGATAATAGACCCTATTGACCCTAAATCAATGGCAATAGCTGGTCCTGTTTAGGGGGGTCTATAGGACCCCACTGGCTAACAGTTCCAAAAGAGGGAGTCTGTTCCCAGTACTGAGCTTTTTATTTGCTAGTCTCCGGTATCTAGTAGGGTCCTTGTCATCCCTTCCCCACCCTGTTATAGGGTAACTCCATTTAAACCCTTTTTATATGTATAGGTGTATATGTTAGGAAGCTTCCACAGTAGCAGGTTTCCATATGACCTTTTCACAAGGCCTTCAGTGCTAGTTATCCCTCCCCACACTCCTTCCACTCTGATGCTCTCCCATCCCCCACCATATCCAACCCTTCCTGTTCCATTATTCCCCTTTACCCCACTATATCACTGTGTTCTATCTTCCCTTCCTTTAAAGACCCCTTACTAGTTTCCTGACCTCTTTGGATATTCCAAATGAAACACATACATCTAAAGATCCAAAACTAGCATCCACATACGTGAGGAAACGTGCATCATTTGTCTTTCTGGGTCTTTGTTGCCTCACTCAGGATGATTGTTTCCAGTTCCATCCATTTACCTGTGAATCTCAGTATTCATTTTTATTAACATTTAAATAATATCCTATTTTGTACATGCACCACATTTTCATTATCCATTCATCAGTTGTTTCCATTTCCTGCCTATCATGAATAGAGCAGCAGTGAACATGGATGAGCATGTATCTCTGTAGTAGGATATAGAGTCCTTGGGATATGTGCCCAAGAGTGATATAGCTGGATCATGTGGTGGATCAATTTTTAGCTTTCTTACGCACCTCCACATTGATTTCCATGATGACTGTACCAGTTTGCACTCCCACCAGCAGTGAATAAGTGTCCTGCTTTTCCCATAGCCACGCAAGCATTTTTTTTTGTCATTTGAGGTTTCTAAGATAAAAAATGGCTAAGACAAGCCATTATGACCAAAAGATGAGATTTCAAAGTAGTTTTAATTTGCATTTCCCTGGAAGCTAAGGATGTTGAACATATTTTTAAATATTTCTCAGCCATCTGCATTTTATCTTTTGAGAACTCTGTTTAGTTCCCTGCTCCAATGTTTAATGGGGTTTTTTGTTTTCTTATTTATTTCAGCAAAGACTTTTAAAGTGTTGCTCATCACACTCTGTTTTGCACTTCCCAGAATCCAAAGGCATCAGTACTCTGGAAACATCTGAATCTAAAGGTCATTGCCTAATTCCTTGCACCTAATTCTACATAGAAGAGAGACCACTGACAGTTTGCAAGCAGAGGAGTGATACACATTTAAGTGTGCTTTAGAAAGGTTAATTAGTATTACTGAACTCACATTTGACTGTGCTTATGCCTGGTTATTGGATACTCACATTTTCTGAAATAAAATAATGAAGATAATGTTATGAAAATATAACTTGTCTGAGGCTTCTTTTGCATCTGAACTCTGCACTTCACATGGCCTGGTACTCCAAAAAGCAGGCTCTTTGCCACTGAGGACACAAACGCTTCCTGACATTTAGAATCAAAAGCTTCTTGCATATTTGATGAAGTCAATACTGACCTTCAGATCTCAATTCCCTGAACCACACACAATCCAGAGGCAGGCCTAACTGTTCATCTAGGAGTCTCCTGCCTGCTCATTCACCCCTCAGTCATTCCAGCAAGAAGAGGAGGGCTACTCCCTCTAGCCTGACAAAGCTGGACCCAGCCCAAATCTACCCATGTGGGACCAGGCCTGGAGCTCTTCTCTGCCTCCTTTTCCATTAGAAGCAATTTACAGCACATTTGTGTATGTGAATTCACTGTTCTATCTGGCATGGATCTGATTATCTCTCTCTAAACTTGTCTCTCATTTGTAGCACAGAACACTAAATAAAGGTCTCTCTGTCACTCTGTAACAGCTTAGTCTACATGTAACTCAAATGACATCACTGTAATATCATCACAAAAGGAGATTGGGCAAGGCCCAAAGGTAGTCATCACTGTGATGTTGATTTTCTAAAGGTGGCTCACAACCTCATTTCCAGCTGATGGTATGACTCTGGTCCTTTCTACTGACCCATAAAATGAGCTTCCATCTGGGAAATTACTGGGATTCTGTACCATAGGCCAGTGGTGGCTAGCATTTCCCTCCCGCCCAGCCCAAGTTGAGATGTTTCTTTTTTCTAAGTTTGCTATGGATGTGGTCCCATTTCTCTAAGCTGAAAATGTGTTAGTTACACAAAAAGAATAAAACCAAGAAGGATGGGTGAATTGTGATCTTGGAATCCTACTTCACCACCTATTTCGTTATGTCACTAAAATGGAAACATCTATTAAATATTAAATATGAAACTCAAACTTGAAAAATGGACTTGTGGGCTGCAGAGCTGGCTCAGCACTTAAGAGCACTGGTTGCTCTTGCAGAAGACTCGGGTTTAAATTCCAACACCCATATGGCTGCTAATAACTATCTGTAACTCCAGTTCCAGCGGATCCGACGACCTCTTCTGTCCCCTGCAGGCATTGCACGACACGGGTGCACTTGCATATATGCAGACAATACACACATACACATAAAAATAATAAATAAGTTTTTAAAAAGAAAAATGGACTTGTTAGATATGTCTTTGTCACTTTCAGAGTAACCATAAAGAAGTTGTACTATGCCAATTCTCTTACCTGTCTAGTAAATGAATGAAAGATGCAAATAAGGTGATACTGAGTCCCATACTGTTTTCCCTGCTGTAGGTCAGTGCAGCTGAATGGCCAGCCCTTAGTGATGGTGGACGACGGAACCCTTCCAGAACTGAAGCCCCGCCCCCTGCGGGCCGGCCGGACGTTGGTCATCCCTCCAGTCACCATGGGCTTTTATGTGGTCAAGAATGTCAATGCTTTGGCCTGCCGTTACCGATAAACCACCCTTCATTCACAAGCTGCTGGTGGGCCTGCTGGACTGCTTTCTTCTCTTCTACCCTAATAGTACCCTTATTTTTCAGACATCTTAGCAACCAGCCTCTGCTCTCCGTCCTGCTGGAGTCAACATAGACTTGCTCTCCAAAGAGACTAAATGTTGTAGTGTGAGCTTAGCCTAGGTAGACCGCATCTGTCCCTAAGGAAAATGTAGACAGCCTGTGTTCCCATGCAAAGATAAAGGTATATGTCCATTTACGTACACCAGAAAAACAGGCTGACAGCACATTTTCAGAGCAAATGTTTTCAAACAGCTCCCCATGATCCTGTTCACACAGCAGGGTAACTACAAGCCCCAAGCCTTAGCCTGTTGCTGCTGCCCTCAACAGAAGATGGGGAAGGAAAAGGCTGGGGGGACCTGCAAGATTCTAATTATCTTCTAACTCTCTCTCCTTGTCTGTTTCCTGCTGCTGCCTTGGGTTTCCTGACACTTCTCTTCCCATAGGGGAACAAATGGGTGAGTCAGCTCTGGCCTGCTGGGTGAGCTGTTTATATAATTTCCTGGCTGATGTATGAGTATGTGCATCTGGGTTTCTGACAGTGGCATCCATCACTGGCTATTCCTCTGGGAAGCGGGTGCTTCAAAAGTAGAATTACAATCATTCTCCAGATTTCGTAAGGCTCTATTCCTCTGTGAATCAAGATTCCCTGAGGCTTGGAATGGGAGTCAGGTAACAATATTCATTGAGTGGAGAGCAATGTATTAGGCACCACAAAAAGCAATCATCATCCTTCATGTGGCCAGAAGAGAGAGAGTTTTAGTAGAAAGAGCACATGGCAACATCAAGTGTACACGCATAGACACACACACACACACACACACACACACACACACACACCAAAGCAATTAGACCTGGCCCCTAAACTGAGAGGATTTCAAAGATTCAAGACTGAAGCCCTTGGTTTTTTGATTGACCAAAAGCCATTTAAAAGGTGTGAGTTAAAGCCACTGTAAATGAGACTGAACCTACCCCTTCTGCCTCTTCCCATGTAGCTGAATCTCTCAGTGGTATTTACTAGGCAGAGACCCCATCTGGTCATTAAAGATGACCAGATCTATCCTACCCCAGCCCAGTTTACTTGAGCATAGAACAAAGCTTTCAGTTAGTCAGTTTGAAGAATGAGAAATCAGTCTGATGGCAAACTTTAGAATGGTAGGTAGGAGGCATCTGAGTTGGGCAGGCACAAGGAGGAGTGATTTAAAGGTTATGACAGGGACCTTTATATAGGTGGGTCTTGGCAAACAAGCTGCAATGACTTTCTGTGGATGTGATTGTCCTTGGGATAAATGACATGAATTCTTAGGGAGGAGACAGATACTTGACACTATCCTGAGTGCCAGAAAAGCCAATGACACAAGGACAAGCCTCGGGCAGGAGTTCAAGGTAACTGAAGACACCAGCAGGGACTTAACTTAGATACCTGAAGTGTAAGTATTTGGGCTAAGTCTGCAAAGTAAAAAACAAGAGGAGGTTTAGACAAACAAGGTGGCAAAGGATTCTGTTTGGTGAATTGGGAATTTGGAAGTGGGAAGGCACCTGTCCAATTCAATGTATAAGGAAGATGGTGGAGTCAGGTTTTGATGTGCTTATTGTCAGGTACAGGAAGAGGAGCATCCATAGTGGACCAGAGCAAACAGGGTGGGAGAGATTGAGGACAGGCTGGACCCACCAATGATCAGCATAGAAGCATCTGGACAGAAAAGAGCTTACCCAACAAGGTAGACTGCTTGCCCAACAAGGCTCCCAGGGGGCATCCTTTCTCAGGAACCAGGTGCTTCCCATGGAAGCTTCAGCTCTGAAAGGGAAGTCCTCAGACTGGAGGTAGGAGGGAAGGGAAGGGAAGGAAGAGACAGGTGGGCAAGTCAAAGCCAGGAAGAGCATGAAAAAGAGAAAAGAGACAAATAGATAGTTTTTCCTTGAACACATATAAAAATCTCTTCTGAATACCAGTCAGGGAGCAGCTGCAGGGTTTCCTGACAGTAGCAAAGTAACCAGAGGCCCCTAATGGGCAGACCCTTGGCTAGATTGCTTTGCATGTATAGAGGTCCTACAATGAAGTTACTGTAGTCATCCTGATGTTCCTATGAGGCATGGAGAGGGTCCTCCCTTGCCCAGGGTCACCCAGTGTAATTTGAGGAATAATCCAGAACCTTCCCACTTAACCATCAAGCTCAGTGGCTTTTCATGTCATAAACTACCCAGGGCTTTCCCTCCTGTTAAGGCTCTGCTCACTCAGTATAGCCAGGACTTTCAGAGCCCCATCCAAACACACTTTCTGTAAATAAGTGTTGATTCTTCACTAAGCCTTGCAGAATGTAGGTAATTTCTGCTGCTTTTGTCTTTCTCTGTGTATTAAATGCTGCACCCAAGAGGCTGAAGTTTTGTTTGTTTTTTAGCTAATAAAAAGGGAAGAGGGAAGCACTGAAATTTATCTTCGGAGTCTTGCAGTTCTATCTTCACAACTACCTCATGGAAGAAGTATTTGCATTACTCAGAGGACACCAAGACACTCACCATAACATCACACTCCATAGCAATTTTAGCACAGTGCATTTGTCTTGATGCCCATAGGGGAGGGGGTGGAAGGAACAGTTATTAAACCAGTGGGGGCCGCTCTTTATAGGAATTGTCTTTCACATCCACCCACAAAGAGAGCCTGTGGTAAACAGAGCATCAGAACCCACAGCAGGGGAGCAGTTGACTCTGCTGGAAAAATAAAGAGCAAAAAGCTCCTCCACCAGCTTCCCTGGGTCAGTTTTCCTTCATCATGTAAGACACAGCAGAGATCATGGGAGACATAAGATCCCTTCATTTTAAATCAAAGAATGGCCTTGTGGAAATGCTTAGTGAAAGAGTAATCATGCATAATGAGAAGTCTGGGCCTTTTGTTGAGATGGGTTTCTGCTCCTCTTGCCTCTGGGAATGATTTTCTTTCTCATTTCTTATCACAAAGCCTCAGAATAAATTCCCATTGTTATTTGAAGAGAAAGTCCCCATTTTTCTAATGCCCTGAAAAGAAAATCTGCCACTGTGGAATATTAGCATTATCTCTAGTTAGAGAAAAGCTTGAAAATATCAGACTCAACAACTGTGAGACTAAATCCCAGAACCAGGATTTCTTGTGCAGTCCTGCCCTTCCCTGGAACTTGGTCAGCCCACAGGAAGGTGGGTCCAAAGCCCTGTACATGCAGAAGTGGCCCATGGGTTCTGGCCTGAAGGTCCTCCATCCACTTCCTGTACCAGGGTTGAGCACTGGGAGTGTGGGGCCAGTTAGCCACTGAGTTTCTGCAGGCAGCATGGGCAGGGCCAGACCAGCATCCTCAGGTGTGTCCCACAGAATGTCCTGCATGCACACAGGACTCTGAAGCTGTAGGCTGAGAGTGCCTTTCTTTCTGAAAATAGAAGTTGGTATTTAACCTCTGCAGAAGCAAAGGCAAAGCAGGTAGATCCTTGTGATGGTAAAAGTGCTGGGACGTGGAAGGAGTTTAGGGTTTGGAAATATCAACAGAGCCACCAAAAATAATATGATGTGACTCTGAGAAGGCAAAGGAAGGAAGCGTGGACATGCTTATCTAGCATGCTTCCCCGACAGTCCCCGCTCCCCAGCCTCAGAAACAGGGGCCCAGGCCAGTGCTGAGTGCAGCTTCTCACTAGGACTATTTCCACAGTCTGCCTTCTGCCAGCCACTCTGTCCCCAGGAGGGGACCCAGGGAAATCTGTGGCACTGAAATGGAGTGAAGGCTCAATTTCAGAATTGTTTGCATTCTCTTAGGATCTATCCATTGAAAAGAAGATAGAAGTATTCCAAAGACAGACTGCTAGGATAAAGAATTTTATCCATGTTATTATAAGGCCCAAACAACTGGAACATTTGGAATAAAAGACTTGCCCTTCCCTTATTGGATGCCTTCTTACCAGTATTTAGACCCTATGGTAGCCAGAGAGGATTAGAGAAGGAACATCCACATTCATCCAGATAAACCGAGTGGCAGAACTGGGACTTGAACCCAGGTCTGTTGGATTTCAAAACCTGCTCTGATGACACCTTGCTTCTCATGTGACAATGGCCACCCTTTTATCATCTCTGTGTTGTACACCACTAGCTTAATAAATCATGTGTGTCCCACAGAAAGCTCACATGCCTGCCTGGGCAGAAGTTGGCCTCGGGTTTGAAGCAGTCAACAAGCAGCTCTAATGGGTATTAAGGAGGGCAGTGAACATCCTCAGTTGAATCCAAGCTCACCTTGACCCACAAGTAACCTTCCTGGTCTGCTCCTCTGTGTTTTTCTGTAGAACAGTCTCAGGACCACTAGCACCACAGTGACCCAACCCTAGGTGATGATTCCCTAGATCCTGGGAGGTAAGTGGCAGAGGCACTGTTTTCTTCTCTCTACCACTCCGAGATCTAGAAGCCTCTTCATCTTCCCACACTGAATGATAAATCGTATTGCATCACCCTAGGGGTGATACTACATGCAAATACTTGCAAATTACACTCTAAAACAGGATAATAAAACAAACTAACTGCATTGGCACCACTTCCTTCTAAACACCAGAGCAGTCCCTGCCAGTGCTGGGAGCCTTTGGGAGGAGCCGAGGACTTTAGATACAACTGGCTCATTTGTTAATTAATCCCATGATCCTGTGAGCTGCAGAGAAAAGGGAGACCATCTGACAAGCCACATCAGGAACATTATACTTCTAATTATTATTCAGGAAAATATCCTAGGGTTCTTTTTCAAGTTGTAAATGTTATGCGATAAATTATACTTTTGGAAGAAACAAAAAGAAACCTTAATTTCATTCATATGGAAGTTAGCAAAATGATTGCAGCAACACCTCCCAGGAAAAGCTGGATCTCTGTGCAGGGGACTTTAACAGGTGTTAATATTTCCTTCCAGAAAACAGATTAGATTGTGGCTTGGGCAAGCCTGGTGGTTGCAGGGACTTTGAGTCCATGAGGTAGCTTTTATTTTGAGGTAATGTTTGTAAGCAATAAAATGTGACTACTCTACCTTTCTGTTGCCGGGTCTTTTATGCAGAGAGAGAGGCAACTGTTTTCCACACTACACCTGGACCTAACACTGACTGTTTGAACATGAACATGTGTTAGGGCTTTGATTTAATGATTCTTTGTCCTCCTGCTCTCCCCAACAAAGCTTTGCCTCAATCATTCCAAGTAGAAATTATATTTCATAATTCCAGTTAAGTGTCATTGATTGTACTGGTCAAGAAAATGGTGATTATAACAGATAAACTCCATAATCTCAATGGCTTAACATGATCAAAGTTTATTTCTTGTTTATAAGTCACATAAAGTTCAGTTGGTGGTAATGTGAAATGGGGCAATGGCTCTGTTCCATACAGTCACTGAGGGATCTAGACTGGTGTAGACCTTCTGTGATCTTTGGCATTCTCCTGCAAGATTCCTATGGACATCAATATGTACTTGGCAGAGAGAGAAAGCCTGTAGGGTCAAGTGAGAATAGTCAGGAGCCTGACCTAGAACTTGCAATAAATATGTTCTGCTTAATTCTACTGACCCATCTAGATACTCGAGGTCTAGAAACTTAGCTGGGAAGTTGCTTTCCAACAACAGTTATGTTTCCTAGACAGAGACATGAGCTCCCTGCCTCTGACTTGCTATTACGTGACTGTTACCATCTGTATGTAGTGACATCAAAATCTACAGAAGATTTTGCACAGTCCGTAATGACCTAATGGAGCTTCATTCTCCACCTGGCCCACTTCTCAAGTCCTGCCTCTCCAAGTATTCCGCTTTTTTTCAATCAGAAAACTATTTGGCTTCCATTTCTATCCAGTAGTGCACATTAACACTAGATTCTGCGCCCTCTACTGGACATGCCAAAAATATAATTTGAAGCCCCAAATAATGTGTCTTTTCCTGGGTAGATGTGAACAAATGTTCATTCACCCAAGACAGGTTACTGACAACAGAGCAGAGAAATGATTCCACCCAAGTCTAGCTTGATGAGCCAGTGAGTTCACTGGGGTTACTTAGGAGCAAGGGTGACTTAAAGGCAACTGCATGACGGAAAAGCCCACTCCAGCATAGGTGACAATTCCTGAAAGCTACATCTCTGGCAGGAAATTCCACGGAGAGTCTCCTCTTCCCAGAAATTTTTTACTACTTTTATAACCCTGGGGAGGAGGCTTGTGAATCTTGTGAAGTTTTTAGTTTCCTGAGCCTTTTAAGTTTTGTGTTGTTCTTATAAGCCTCCCCCAGAAGAGTGTTTCAATTCAAAGGAAAGAGATTACAATGAAGAACATGGAGGGGAAAAAAGTCACTGGAGAATCGGAAGCCAACTCCACACCCAGAGACCGTGACAATGCCGCCCCACTGATTCTAACACCTAAGAGGAAAGGTTGTTCAGGCTCTCTGGCCCTCAGTGTCCTTATCTCTAAATTGAGGACTTTGGATTGGGTGAATGAACCTCAAGGTCACCTGAGCATCCCTGTTATCCAATTCTGTCAGGTGATCAGTCCCTGTTCCAGCTACTGCAGTTTTCCAATTTTTCCTCATGTAAAATGATGTATTAGACGCAAAGTAAGTCACTGAAAAGAATATAAAAAGGCAAAGCCACAGGCTTATCTGATAAAGGACTTGTATCTAAATATATAAAACAATAAAAAGTCCAATTTTTAAATGGGTAACAGATTTGTAACACTCTACCAAAGAAGAGATACATACTGCATATAAGCCATGGAAAAAAGTCTACTAAGAAAATGATTCATTCAAACCACAGGGAGAAGCCAAATGTGGTGGTGCACGCACCCTTAATCCCAGCACCTGCCAGGCAGACCTCTGTGAGTTCAAGGCCAGCCTGATCTACACAGGAAGTTCCAGGGCAGCTGGGGCTACAGGGAAACTCTGTCTCAAAAATACCAAAAAAATGAGAACCTACAAAATACTTGGAATGGCTAGTTCTAAAAGGATAATCTCAACATGGTGTGGTGGCACATATCTGTAATCCAAGCACTTAGGAGGCTGAGGCAGGAGGATTACAAGTTTATGAGACCATCCAGGCTAACTAAAGACAGACAGACAGACACACACACACACACAGACAGACAGACAGACAGACACAGACACACACACACAAATTGGAACTTATGATGGCAAAAATCTAATAAAAACAGGTTAGACTCAGTTATATCAAAATGAAAACTTAGATGATGCTTAAGAAAGTGATGGGGCTAGGGGTTGGCTCGGCTGGTAAGATGCTTGCCTTGCAAGCACAGGGACCCAAGTTAGACAATTGGAACTTATGATGGCAAAAATCTAATAAATAAAAACAGGTTAGACTCAGTTATATCAAAATGAAAACTTGGATGATGCTTAAGAAAGTGATGGGGCTAGGGGCTGGCTCGGCTGGTAAGATGCTTGCCTTGCAAGCACAGGGACCCAAGTTAGACCTTCAAAATCCATACAAAAGCCAGCCATGGTGCTGCTGTGTGGTTGTAATCCCAGACAGAGCTGGGGATGTGGAATCAAGTGGATCCCTGGACCTTACTGAACAACCAGTCTAGCCAAATTGGTGACTCTAGGCCAATGAGAAACTCTGTCTCAAAGGGGATGAATGGCATTCCTGAGGAGGATACCCGAGGTTGTCCCCCAGCCTCCACATGCACACACACAAACACATGCACACACTCACACACATGCTTAAAAAATGAAAGCTAAAGAGAAACCACATAATGGGAAAAAAGTTTTATAAGTTATATGTCTGATAAGAGTCTGGAACATAAAGAATTCTTATAATCCAATAATAAAAGACTAGATGGGTAAAAATAGATAAATAAAAATAGATAAATAATAAAGAATATGATTCAATATTTCCCCAAAATAAAAATAAAAAGATGCACAAATGATCAGAAAAGTACATGGAGAGATGGTGACCTTCATTAGTCACTGGTGAAATGCACATCAAAACACCAGGTAGCACTTCACACCTACTAGGATAGATAATCTTAAATGGACAATAACAATTAATCAAGTTTACAAACTGCTTGACCTAAGAGAAAAACATGACTGAACACAGGATAAAGAGTTCTCAGGCAGGTCTGGGGGAGGGATGCCTGCTATGAGGCTCTGTGCTGTGGAAGGGAAGCTGGGAGAGGTGGCAGTGAAGGGCACAGCAGGTGCCTCAGTGCTGTGGGACCTCTACTTAGTGCTAGGGGAACATGGTACCACCCCGCGGCTCGCCGTGCCTGCGTGAGCGACAGGAGCGGAGGCCTGCAGGACAAAGATATTATTGCCCAGCAAGAGCAGTAGCAGGCGGGGGCGGGGCGCGAACCCACAGAGCAGGAGCGTGATCACGTGGTGAGGTCACGCGGGCACACCCGGAAGCGCGCCGCGGGCTGGCTGCACACTAGGTGGTGTGAACCATCGTTCCGGTACGTGGGTCTCGTGGGTGCCCCCCGCGCAGCCCTTCCGGGCTTGGCGAGGCCGTGGGGTTTCCGGGAGCGGGCCCCAGACTCGGGCCCCACACACCAGGCCTCTCCTGGGCCACCGGAAGATGGGGAGGATGTGAGGATTTGGGGGTGACCCTGCTGGAGGGCCTGGACGTTGGCTCCTCGGGGACGCAGTGCTGACTGGTGTGAGATGGGATTAGTATCCCTGCAGGAGTACTGCGGGCTCTGAGTCCCACTCCTCACTCGGCACCCCCTCCCTACTACCCACTACCGAGCTCCCGGAGTCGGGAGTGGGCCACCAGGGCACTTTGTGGGGAGGAGTTTAGAGCTTTGGTCAGGGTGGTAAACACTGGAGGTTTCCCAGGTTGGCGCATACTTAGAAGTTCTCTCTTCAGAGCAGGATAGCAGAAGGAAGTCAGAAAACAAAGAGGAAGCAGCAAAACCTAATGCCTACTGAGAAGCATGCCCATGTTTCCAGGAAGGTGACATCAAGACCAAACTTCGGGGTGTCGCAGCCAGGCTCAGAGTTCTTTTGCAAAAGATACTGAACCCCTAGCTGCCCTTCCTTTTGGGCTTTAGATTGTACCTGCCTCATACTAGGAATGATTCTGGAGCCAGTTTATCTGCCCTGTTATTTGAAGCAGGGAAGCTGGGGAATGACACCTGCCCGCCATTCATATGGAAAGCGGAGCTTGAGTTTAAGCCTGGCGGGTCCTGGTGACTCTCCCTGTAACCCAGTAAGAAGGTACCTCGGGGATTTGTTCATCATTTCCCTGTGGGAGTTTGAGACTCACAGTTGTAGACCTCGGAAAGCCAAAACTTAAAACCTAACCCAAATACCTTTTTTGTTAGTTTATGACTATTCATGACACCTATCCAGGACACCTGTTCTCATCAGGACTGCTTCCTGCCAGCCTGGGATATGCAGTGTGGTCCCCCACCAGGTGCTCACAGCAAGCTCCCCAGGGCTGCTCAGGGTTGGTCTGCTGATCACACCTTGTCTCTGAGTGAGCCAGTCTAAAATGAGTTCTCCTAGAGCAGAGGTGGGAACTAATGTGTGTGGGCACTTACTCTAACGAAGGACTCTGCTTACTGGGTTCATGGCCTCTATATGGAAGGTACCTGTGAGTCCTCAGCTTCTCCCCAACTTGCCCACTCTCAGGAAGAGAGGGCAGTGGAGACCAGAGCCTCTGCATGCCTTCATGCTCTCTCTGCCTTAAGATCTGCAGGACCCAGGATGTTGTGCTGTTGTCTGAACTGGTCACAGTGTTTGGCTCCTTGGAAGTTCTGCTGTGCACTTTGCCCAGGTAGATGATGTTCCCTTCCTGGGGTTGATGGGGAGGTGGGCACCACCCACTCTGGGGCTGTGGGAAGCAAGCAGAATGAGGAGAACAGTAGACTGAACCACACTGGACTTTGTATGCCTCCTCCTTAACCACGCCCCCCTTCTCCAGCCCTACATCCTCATGTCACTGAACTTGCATGAGGATGCCACGAGATAAGACTGGGAAGGCGCCCAGGGTGCCCGAAGGCAGCAAAGGGCTCAATGAATGTCTGCTGGGGTGAGGAACTTCTCATTACTCAGGCTGAACTCACCATGTGACCCTCACCCTTGCCTTTCCCTGGAAGATGAAGTGCGTCTTAGTGACCACTGAGGGTGCAGAAGTCCTCTTCTACTGGACGGATGAGGACTTTGAAAAGAATCTCCGGCTGAAGTTTGGGTCAGAGAATGAGGAAGAGGAGGTGAGTGCCTGCCGAGTAGTGATCTCAGGAAGGATTGGTAGAGGGAGCAACACAAGGCTACCCCAAGACAAGGAGGAGAGCCTCCAAGGGCCCAGCAGGTGTGTGTCAGGGCTCAGCAGGGGCACATACATGCCTTTCCAGGAGCGCTCACACCTAGATGCAGGGCAATCCTTTTGATGTGCTAAGTACAGTGGTTTCACATTCCACCAGAGCTGTCTGGGCCCATGAACAAAAAAGGAAGTAAAATTTTAGCCTTACAACAGAGAAACTTGATGTCAAGTTCTCTACCCAGAAAGCTTACCAGAAGCTTAATGCATTTATTTTTAGCAGCTGTATTGATAGTGTACAATTTTATATGTGTTTACCTGTGATTCAGTCACAATCAATAAAATATCTGCCACCCCAAAAGTTGTATTCCCTCTTGCTCCCTAGGCTCAAAGCGAATCACTGAGCTGTTTTCTGGCATGATGAGTTTGTATTTTGCAGACTTATCTAAAGGAATCGTACAGAATGTCTGTGGGTTTCATTCTGTGATGTGTTTGGTTTAGGCCTGTCCTTTTTCAGTCAGCATGATTCTTTCTCACTTCAGCCATTTTTTCAGTACATACCAGCCGTTCATTCCTTTCCATTTCTGAGTAGTAATCTACCGTATCTGGATGCCACAATAAGTTTATTGGACATTTGTTGGACATTTGACTTGTTTCCAGGTTTTGGGTGCCACAAATACAGCACCTGGGATGTGTATCTTGTATGAGCTTCTGCTGTGGAATGTGTATCTTTGCATGGGCTTATGTTCCTGTTCCTCATGGGTAAATACCTGAAAGAGTGGCTACATCAAGTAGGGGTGTGCTTAAGATCTGAAGGCACCACCAAGCTTTCCAACAGGTCTCCAGATCCTCACTGATGCTTGCTGTTCATTCTTTTTAATTTTAGAGTCTAATCGATGTCGACTAGAATTTCGTGTGTTATTTTTCATCTCTTGGTGACTAATGACTTTGAGTGTCTCTTCCTGTACTTTGCCATGTTTCATTTTATTGTTTTTAGGATTGTTCTTACTGAATTTTCAGTGTTTCTTATATAGTTAGTATATAAGTCTTTTGTTAGGTATATGTTTTGCAAATATTTCCTTCCAGTCTGTGGACACTCTTAAGAGTGTCTTTTAAAACACAGTTTTAAATTCTGATAGCTCCGATTTTTCATTTTTGCTTTTACAGATCATGCTTTTGGTGACATCGAAGAAATCTTTGACTAAACTAAAATTGCAAAGAATTTTCCCCATATCTTCCTCTGGAATTTGTATCACTTGGGTTTTGTCTTGGTTTTGGAGTTCTGTTGTTGTTAATGTTTACTGTAATTGCATTTTTATTTGTGTGTGCATGTGTGTATGCCATGGCACCTTGTAGAAGTCAGTCCCCTCTTTTCTCCATGTGTGTTTTAGGGATCAAATCCACATCATCAGGCTTGATAGCAAGTACCTTTACCTACTGAATTATCTCTCCAGCCTCGTTTTTCAGACAGAATCTCACTATGTAGTCCAGGCTGTCCTCAGATTTGTAATCCTCCTGCTTCTGCCTCCCAAGGGCTGGGGTTGGAGGCACACCCCTGAGCCAGGCTTAGTTTTGAATTTCATATAGGGCCTAATGATCCATTTGAGAGTCTGAATACAACGTAAAGTGTGGCTTGAAGCTCTTTTGCATATGCACATCTCATTTGTTACTTTACTATTACTCAGAAATAGTTGTCATTTCACCTGTGTACTTTCCATTCTAACTCCAGTTCCAAGGGATTTGACACCCTCATCTGATCTCTGCAAGCACTGCACAACATGGGTGCACTTACATATATGCAGGCAATATACTCATACACATAAAATAAAAAAATTAATAAGTAAAAAATTAAAAAAAAAAACATTCTTACATTTCCATGGCAGCACAGACTGACTGCTCCTCAGGACCAGCAATGGGCCTAATTCCTCCCTGAGCCTGCTCCCCTGCAGCTGGCTGCATCCCCATTGCACTCAGCACTCCTGGCAGTTGTTAAGAGAAAACAAGGTTTCAGAGAGCATAGACATTCAAGCAATTTTATTTAAGCTAAAATCAGGTCTATCTTTTTGGCTGTTTTATTTTTTAGAATTCAGTACATCTAATCCTTAAGAATTTATGTAATGAATATTTCAGTTCTTCCTCTTAGTTAAAACTGGTACAAAAACAAATTCCTGAGTTGTTTGTTAGTTTTGTTTTTATTATTTTTATTTTATGTGTATGAGTATATTACCTATATGTGTGTAAGTGCACCCCTGTTGTACAGTGCCCACAAGAGGGTGCTGGGAATTGAACCTGGGTCTTCTGCAAGAGCAGTCAGTGCTCTTAACTGCTGAGCCACCTCTCCAGCTCTCACTCCTGAGTTTTTAGTTTCTAGATAACTAGTATAAAGGAACAGAAGTTCTAAAGGTCTATTATTTTATTATGCCACACTTCTTTCTAATAATATAAATAACTGAGTTAATTGTAGGGAATTTGAAGATGAAGAGAAATAATAAATGGCTCATAATTCCACTATCTGGAGCTATTAGCTCCTTAATCTACCTGCTTTAGGTCTTTGTCTTTTATATGGCAGGGATCATATCACATTTATAGTTTTATTGCTTGAGTTTTTTTCATTTTCCATTATATCAGAATTATTTTCCATTTTGTTAAATGGACCCCAAAGCATAATTCTTAATTATACCATTATATTCAAGTATATGAATAAATGTATCTTCATTTAACCATTTCCCCAATGTATATAATAACATATATATTGCAATACATATATTGCTTCTAGTTAGCTATCACTGCTGGTATGGGGAACATTGTGCTTGAATTTTATCCCTTTCCAATTATTTGATATTATGATTATTCCTAAAAAGTAGAAATGAGTTAAAAGTCATTCAAACATATTGTAGCACTTTATAATTTTGCTGCATAATGTATAAGAATGGTCTTTCACACTCTGCATACACTGAAAATTGTTCGTCTCCTCCCACCACAAAAGTCTCGGTATACCTGTGTAGAGAAAGCTACTGCTTTTAAAGTGTTGCTGCAGTCAATGTAGATTTTTTAATGACTTTTCAATTAATATCATTTGTAACTGTTAAAGAAAATCATAGCCCATGAATAATTCCACAAGCATTTGCCTATGTGAAGGCATAGTCATTGAACAAATTCTGAGCCTGTGTGCTGGCCTCTGGGGGTACAGCAGCAAGTCTAACAATGTGGTCTGTGCTCTGGGGGAATGCAGGATCCAGAGAGGGACAATGTATAGTGAACTGGATGGTGAGTAAACACCATGAGTTCAGGCTGAGTTCCACCAGCAGAAGGCACTGAACAGGCTATGGGATGGGCATGACTGGGGTGGGTAGCCGGAGGATGCCAGGCAAGAGGCTGACAGACTATAGGGATGACCGAAGCCTGGCTTCCTGAGCATCGGAAGGATCCCATGTTGCCCTGCTCTGTGCCATTCATAGCTGCCGCTCACTTTCAAGGCAAGTGCTTACTTGGCTCTCTGCATCTCATCAGCTCCTGGTGAAGAGCTGGCTTCCCCAAGCCCCATTTGAGTTTCCTGAAATCAACCTGGCAAAGTCATCTGTTTCCTCCCTTCCTTTCACTCCAGCATTGAAAATGGAGTTTGTTGGAGTTTTTGCACAGCTTTCTCCAGTACCTCCTCACAAAGTCTTAACATATTCGCCACTTCCCTTTAGTTTTTGTCTGATTGTTTGGTTTCTTTTGGGGGTGGAGGAAGGGCAGTGGGAATAGATTGGCATACTTCCTAGAGAACAGAAATATAGAAACAAAAAGGGAGAAAATCACTCATAATTCCTCTATCCAAAAGTGACACCTTAAGTAGTATTGGCCTTCTTAGTACTTTTCAATACATTATTTTTTTTTCATGCATTTTTAAATATAGAGCACTCCTCCTTAGAGCACTGCCTGCTCTTGCAGAGGACCTGGATTCGATTCCCAGCACCCACATGGCAGCTGCATACCATCCTTAACTCTAGTTCCAGGGGAATCCGAAGCCCCCTTCTGACTTCCGTGGCATTGCATGACACAGGTGCACTCACATACATGCAGGTCATACACTCATACACATAAAATAAAATAATTTTAAAAACCCACAAACACAAAGCCCCCTCATGCAACAGAGGGCTAGGAACACAAAAGGTCACAAATGGCCAAAACTCAGAGAATAAGAGTCTACAGAATGTGGGTCCTTGGACAGGACTCCTATATTAAAATCCACCCACCCAGGGCTCAGGGACCATTGCAGAAGAGAGCACGGAAAGATTCTAAGAGCCAGGGAGGAGGTGCAGGACCATGTGGAAACAATCCTACAGGCGCCTGGGACCCTTCTCATACAAACCTACAGCAATGGTGTCAGCATGCACAAGACCCATGCAAACAAGCAGACAAAAACCCAACACGGAACTGTGGAAATGAACAACAGGCCCCATTCTTAGTTGAAGAATTATTGGCAGCTGATTATTGCTGGGTGAGGAAGAGCTGGTCTTCTTAAAGGGAGGGACTCTAGATAGGCTGACTAAATCCCAGTGGATGAACTTGCACTGAGGGACATTATGGGATACTAACTTTACATAATAGGCCTTAACACAAATGACAGAATATATAAACTCCAGTGGCAGGGGGCAGGGAGGGTGCCAAAGGGGGTAGTATAAAGATAAATTTATGTATGAAATACACAAAACTTCAATAAAAAAATTGTGAAAAGAAACTACCATCCATTCACCAATTAATCATTTTTTCTCTTCTTAGTTACAGATGTCCCCCTCCTTCCTTTCAGGTGGCTGTACTGTACTTTAGAATGCAGATTGTGTTATCTCCTGATCCTGTTTAAAATTTTTAAACTACATTTATTTATTTATTATTTATTTATTCACTTATTTATTTATTAAACACACAGAGGAATTTTTCGTGTCATTGAAACAGTAATCTTGAGGCAGCTGTATGGCTTTTTCTTCTATCACCTGCATCAGGGCTTCTTAAACTTTTCCCATTGTAACCTCTTTTGACCTGAAAATTTTTAAGTGACTCAAGGTAAATAGATCTATAAAATAGATACAGGAATCAGACACTTTTGAAAATAAGCCATAAAGAATTTTTTTCAAACAATATTTGGTATATACATAATTTTATCATAATTAAAGAGGGAAGAAACTCCATATTAATGATACGGATGTACTTATTTCATAAAAAGAGTTAAGTCTGTGCTGGATGTGGTGGTACATGGTTTTAATCCCAGCACTCAGTGGCAGAGGCAGGTGGATCTCTGTGAGTTCAAGGACAGCCTGGTCTACATAGTGAGTCCCAGGTTAGCTGGGGCTACAGGGAGATCAAATCTCAAAAAATAAGAATAAAAAGACCAAAAGAAGAATTACATCTGAGTCAAGAGAGATGGCACAGCAGTTTAGAATGTGTACAGCTTTTTCAGAGGACGTGAGTTTGGTTCCCAGCACCCACATCAGGCAGCTTATAACCACCTATAACTCTAGCTCCAGGGAATCCAGCACCCTCTTCTGGCCTCTAAAGGTACCCACACATATGTGCACACACACACACACACTTTAAAATATTTTTTTAATGTTTTATTATTTTTAATTTATGTTTATGCATGTATTGCCTGCATGTAGTAAGTACACCCATGTTGTGCAATGCCCGCAGAAGACAAAAGAGGCTGTCGGATCCCCTGGAACTGGAGTTACAGACAGTTGTTAGCTCCATGTGGGTGCTGTTTGAACCCGGGTCTTCTGCAAGAACAACCGGTGTTCTTAACCACTGAGCAATCTCTCTAGCCCCTAAAATATTTTTTAAATAATTGAATCTAGCAGACTGTTTGATACAGCAGGACATAGAACATCTTTAGTATTTCCCAGAGTTGATATTTTGATTTTATGATTGCTAATGACCATCATGTTACCTAAATGATAGCACCAAATGGAAGAAATGTGTTTACTCACATTTCACAAAGTTTTGACAATTCTGTCCTAATCCCAAGCCAAAATTCACTTCATGATTTTTTTATGAAATTAAAATCATCACTCAAGCTTATCTATTTTTAAAATCAAACATTGTAACACAAATCTGTCCACGATATACTAATTTGATATTTACATGTAGAGGAAAGTCAGTAAGAAAATATTAAAAATCTTTGTTTTCCATAATTAAACCATTATATTTCTATAAGAACAGAAAACTGGTATATACAGTTTAAAAAGCACTGGCATTCATAACATGCAGTAGTCTCAAATCTGAACTGAGGTTTCAGGCAGCATTCATTGGTGTTATGATGCAGTGTGTAGCATTAGACAGGCAGAGAATGCAGTCTGTAGTTCAGAACCAAGGCTTTTGTCAGTTCATTGTACAATTAACTTGGACTTTATTTTGGTCGTGTGTATTCAGAAACTTTTTACTGTTGCCAAGTTTTTCCACATTCAGTTACTCAAGCCTATGTGGGGTTGTGACTCAGAGGGTTTTTAAAAAATATTTTATTTATTATTTTTATTTTATGTGTATGAGTGTATTGCCTGCATGTATGTACGTGCACCTGTGTCATGCTATGTCCATGGAAGTCAGAAGAGGGTGTCGGATCCCCTTGAACTGGAGTTACAGCCGGTTGTTAGCTACCATGTGGGTGCTGGGAACCAAACCCCAGTCCTCTGTAAGAGCAGCCAGTGCTCTTAGCCATTCTTCAGCTTCATGATGGAAAGTTTAAGTAACTATGATTTATATGTATTGTTATTTATTTAAATATTTCCCTAGTGTTGGACTTTTATATTTTTCCAGTTGTTTGAAACTGTGCATTATGCTGTAGTGAACATGCCTGGGCACAAATCTTTGTTTTCCTAGGATAACTTCCCCCAAAGTAGTCCGTGCCATGCATGGACTTTGACGCATGTAAAAGACTTCCTTAGAATCCTTGATTCTCAATTAAATGCCCCAAGCATTCCATTGGAGAAAGGTGACCCAGTTCCTTCCAGGTTTGTCCAACCTCTTGATAGTGTGACAAGATGCCATCTACAAAGTCCATGCTTGAGACCATACAATCTACACATGCATGCAGACACACACACATACACACACACACACACTAACACCCCCCCCCCATGTTTTAAGTAAGTTTATGATTTTGTGTTGGGCTGCATTCATAGCTGTCCTTGGCTGCATGAGGCCCTTGGGCTACAGGTTGGACACCTGCTGGAATGTTTCCTTCTGGAATTGGATCCTGATCTGCACAGTTACCAGACTGACCCTACTTTCCTAGCTACTACACAAAAGTGTGGGGCAGTCTCTTTTCAAACATCTCTCTCAGGACAATAGCGCTCTCTCGGGCAGTTCTAACACTGTTGAAACTCTTGATGTAAGTTCTGGGCCTTGTTTGTTCCTTTGTTGCCAGTATCTGGCCCATTCTCAGACGTTTCCATCCTTCAGCCTATAGTCCACATGCATCCCAGGACAGCTGTGAACGTAGCCCAACATATTTGTAAATGACCTATCTCATCTCAGTATCAAAATTTTAGAGATCCCTACACACTAGGCAGTGCTATTTTCTCTCTCACTTGCAGCTCCCTGTACTGGAGGACCAGCTCAGCACCCTCCTGGCCCCCATCATCATTTCCTCCATGACAATGCTAGAGAAGCTCTCAGACACATACACCTGCTTCTCAACAGAAAATGGCAACCACCTGTATGTCCTGCATCTGGTGAGTGTGTGGCCCAGCAGCCCTCGGTGCACCCTCAGTCCACTTCCTTGGGAGTTCAGATGCTACTCCCTTTATCTTAGCCTGTAGACCTCTTTGGAAGGCAGAAACGGAAGCTCCTGAGATTTAAGCCTCACCTTGTTTGTCCACTGAGACCTGGCAGGCAAAGAGAGTCCCCTAGGGCTAGCTGATATTGTGACTGTGCCTACAGTTTGGAGAATGTCTGTTCATCGCCATCAATGGAGACCACAGTGAGAGCGAGGGGGACCTCCGGCGGAAGCTGTGTGTGCTCAAGTACTTATTCGAGGTGCACTTTGGGCTGGTGACTATGGACAGCCAGCTCATCCGAAAGGAGTGAGTCATTGCAGCTGGGCCTGTAGTGTCCTCTGCTGGGTCCCTGGATCAAAGAAGCAGAGCTCAGAGAAGCCTTGGAGACCATCTGGTCTGACCTCATACAGATGGAGAAACTGGGCAGAGAACTTGAATAACTAAATTGGCAGCATCCAGCGTCAGACTCTGAGCTCAGTTCTCCCAGTTCTGTGCCCAGAGTGCTCCCAACATTAGTGATTTGTCATTACCAGGGGGCCTTAGGTTGTCCCTTCTGGCTTCTCAGAGATGCTTTAACCCTTCCATAGAAATGCACAGTCCCCCAGCCTAGTGACATCTTGAGCCCACACTAGGGACCGCGGTGACTGAAAACGGTGGCTTCTCATGTACATGGAGCAGGGAAGGGCCCTGGAGAAAGGGTTCATTGAGCCTTAGATCTGGAAGAGTAAGATTCGAGGTGGGATTGCCTGATTCTCCAATATGGGTGGGCATGTCTCAGAGTTTGAAACCCTGGGTCTTTTGAGTTTTGAAGGGATGTGAGCATATGCAGAAGCACATCTTGATTCTCCAGCATCATTTCATGGTGTTTTAGCCTGGATGGCTGTAGTGTCAGTGGCACTGGCTGCACTGTGGGGGCCTGGGGCACAGCCATAGCAGCAGTGCTGGGCTGCTCAGCTTCTGAGAGGACTGTACCCCTCGGTTTAGCCCTGAAAATAGGCCAGGTTGTCTCTTTGCAGAGACCTGTGGGGATGTGAGGGGCATAGGCAATTCAGGCACCTTCTTGGCTTTTTCTAACTGGCTTTTTTTTTTTCTTTGCAGTGTTGGGGATCAAACTTGCAGACTTACCCATGTTAGACAAGGGCCTAACCACTGAGTCACACCCCAGCCTCCAGCCAGCTTTATATGTCCATGTGTAAAAAAGCCCCAGTAATGAAATCATTTGCTCTAGGGCCTGACTCCTGGTTCATGCTATGCCACTCAGCACAACCCAAAACATGGCCTCACTGCCTCTCTACATACTTCAGGCCTAACCACTTAGGTGTCTAATACTAACCTGGGACAGGGTCCTTGGGTTGGGGCTAGAGATGACCAGCTTTCTCACTATCCCCTGCTCTGCCTGGCTCTTTCCTAGGCTGAGACCCTCTGACCTGGAGCAGCGTGCTCGGGTATGGAAGCACTTTCAGAGCCTACTGGGGACCTACAGCCGCCTGCGGGAACAGGAGCAGAGCTTTGCTGTGGAGGTGACTGGGGGTGCGGGAATATCAGGCCTCAAAGATGGCAAGTCACTGAGGTGTAGGGGCTCCAGAATTTTCATCTCTAACAATTGCTCAGGTGATGCTGTGTGGGGTAATCTTTCTCTGAAAACCATTGAGTTAGTGTGTGTGTGTGTGTGTGTGTGTGTGTGTGTGTGTGTGTGTGAAATGAGCTCATAGTTAGACAGTCAGATACAAAAGAAAATAAGACACCATGAGTGGAAGTTGGGACATCAGGGAATCAATTATCAACAGGTTTCAATATGAAGGAGTTGGAATTACTAGGTCCAAAAATATCAAATAAAAATATTTAAAGACATAAAAATTAGTGCCAGAACGGACTTGAGAGATGGCTCAGTGGTTAAGAGCAGTGGTTGCTTTTGCAGAGGACCCAAGTTCGGTTCCCAGCACCCACATGGCGGCTGACAACCATCTGCAACACCAGTTCCAGGGAATCTAATGCCCTCTTCTAGCCTCTGTAGGCACTGCATGTACATGGTGCACATACTACATTCAGGCAAAACACTCAAACACATAAAATAAAATTTTAAAAAATCTTTTAAAAAATGCCGCAAAAACAAATGATAGACTCCAAAATGGCCAGGAAGATTTTTCCAAAGAGCCCGTCCAGATAGTTAAGGATGAAAGTGTGATTGGTAAAATGAAAAGTCGCAAGTAAGACATAATAAAAGAAAGTTAGTGAACTGGAAAATGGATCTGAAGGCACTGGCTCTCACATCTCACTCATTCAGCCTGCCAAGAATGTACCTACTGAGCCAGCAGATGGTCAGACCTTGATGTATAAAGACACAGCTCCTGCCCTTAGAAGGAAATCACCTGAACATGCAAACTAAAAGTACAATAAAATAAAACAGCTTGGGTACCATGTTGGGTTCCCTATAAAAATCCATGGTAACACAAAGGATAGATTGGTTGGCTTAGCTGCTGTGGGAAATGTCTTAATGCAGTTAAGATGAAATCTAGATTCCCTGGCCACATCCACAAACCCCCAGAGGCTCTGTCCCTGTCTTGCCCACCTTCCTCAAAAGCCTCTCTCACTCACTATGCACTGGTGACATGGGCTTCCATCAGTCTTGAGAATCCTCTTCCTCTAGCTCTGTACAGTATGCTAGTGACTTTCGAGCATTTGAGATGTAATTAGTCCATACTGAGCCCTGTCAAATGTGTAATATACACCAAACTTTGATAATACAAAAATCTAATGAATGCTTTTACATTGTATATTAACATTTTACAAGAAAATTTATATTATTTTTTTTTACATTTATTTTCTATGTGCACGTGTGGGGGTGCATGCATGCTGTGATGTATAAGTGGAAGTCAGAGGGCAGCTTGCAGGATTTGATTCTCTTTCCTGGGGATCAAACTTGGGTCATTAGGCTTGACTGTAGACACCTTTAACCACTGAGCCATCTCACCAGCCCTCAGAGCATTTTGAATTATTCGTAGGACTTGCCTTCTACTTCATTTGACGGTACTTCTCCAAACTGTCTGTGGATCACAGGGCCTTTGCACTCACTCTTCCCTTGGCTCACCTGTGTTCCTCCCCTGCTTTCTCTGGAAGACTTGCTGGTCCCTTAGGTTGCCTCCTCAGGAACATTTCTTCAAACAGCCTACTCTATTAGGTCTCTGCTGTTTCTCTCTAGTTCAGTGTCATGTGTTTCCTACTTGGCACATATTGCATTTGATTTTCCTTGTCTCCTTTTGTGTTGTCTGCCTCATCCACTAGAGTTTGGTAACTGGACTGGGAGCCCCAGGCAGGATTGGCTTGCTCCTTTAGTCTCCCTACTTCCCATACCTGGCATCTAGTATCAGCTCCCTATGGGCTGAGAGCATGTGCCCTCCAGTGCAGGCTGGAGCAGGGAGGGTGGAGACTGACATGCTTTCCTCCCCTGCCCATTCCTGGCCAGGCGGTAGAGCGGTTGATTCACCCCCAGCTCTGTGAGCTAAGCATCGAGGCACTGGAGCGGCACGTGGTACAGGCTGTCAACTCTAGCCCGGAGCGGGGTGGTGAAGAGGCCCTGCACGCCTTCCTGCTCGTGCACTGCAAACTGCTGGCTTTCTATTCCAGGTAAGTCTGAGAGCCTGTCCTGTGATAAACTGCCAGCTAGAGCCCTTCCAGAACCATCTCTGCCATGAAACTCTCCCTGACTCAGGTCTCATCTCTCAGTCCATTCCATTCTCTGGTGTTATTTCTAACCATGCACTTCAAATCTTCACTAGAGTAACAGAAACTCCTTTTATGTTATTACTGGTCCCTGGGACCTTCCCATTCGCAAATTTTGGTTTTCACACAACTTTCACTTTAAAAATTGGTAGGCTAATTTTCTTTATATCTTGCTCATCTCCAGGAAGATTTAAGTTGTAGGCTAAATAGGCTACCCCTGTCTCTGCACCCACAGTGCAGGCATCCTGCGCCCAGCTGATCTCCTGGCCCTCATCCTCCTGGTTCAGGACCTCCAGCCTACCCAAGGCACAGCAGAGGAGGAGGATGACGACAGCCCTCAGGTCTCTGGACAACACAGCCAGCAGGGGGGTGACCTAGGAAACTGGCCTGGAGGCAATGGGCATCTGGATGTACAGTTTCACGTGGTATTTGTCCTGCTGCTTTCAGATGGAAGGAGAATTCTAGAATGGACATGGTCTAGAGGGTTATGCAGATGTGGGGAGTTTGTCCTGGTTTCGAACTTAAACTGTCCTCTCAGCTGTGTGAGCTGAGCAGACAAGTGCTTGCTGGCTGAGAGCCCAAGTCCCTAATCTGCAGTAGGGGATATGGTGTGCCACTTTTGTGGAGATCTGAGAGCTAAAGGTAATAGGTCTCAGGGAGCCCAGCAGTACCTGGGCAGTTGAGTATTATCCTTAACATGGATGTTGTCATGTCATCAGTGGTACCGGCTAGTGCTGGTTTGGATACCAAAGTGTTAGAATTTCTAGAACTGAAGCACCTTGGAAACTCTGAGGGCCATATACCCAGGGCAGCTCATAGAACAAAGTAGAAAGTGGAGGTTGTCTATGAAGAGCTGGGAGGAAGACAGGTATGGGAAGAGCCAGGTCAGCCATCCCTAACCAGCATCTCCTTGGCCCTCTTGCAGCCGTTCCCTCAGAGGAGACCCCGAAGCAGCCAGAACATCCCTGTACAGCAGGCTGGGAGGCAGTGCACCTCAGGCCCCACCAAGAGTTCTGAGGAAACGGTGTGTGCTGGACCTTGTGAGGAAAGAGGGCAGCCCTGTCTTGTTTTGGCCTAGGCCAAGCCTTTCCCATGTTTCCCAGAAGAACGGGCCCAGCTGGAGCAGCTGGGAGAGGCTACCTCCCTTTTGACCCTTATCCAAGCTGCTTCTTCCTCCCCAGGACACAGACAGCATCTCCCTCCCTGAGGAGTACTTCACCCCTGCTCCTTCCCCAGGCGAGCAGAGCTCAGGTGAGGCCTGTGGAACGGGAGCGTGGCAGCCTGGGGAGATGCCAGTCTGCCGCCAGGGAATGTGTATCAGGGTCAGTGGATCCTCATTCCTTGTGAGGGTCTGAGCACAAGCACTCGGACTCCTAGAGTTCAGCTCTGTCAGTGACCCTTTCTCTCTCTTCCCTGCCAGGCCCAGCTTGAATCCAAGCACTGCCAAGATAACTCAATGACCCTGAACTTTGCACAGGGTCAGGAATTTCTCACTTAGAAATGCATGCATGTGTTCTCTCCACCTCATCTTTTCTCTTTGTAATTAATAATTAAGTTATTAAGTAAAATGAAGTAATGGCCACTTGATTTCAAGTACATTTTAAAGTGTGAATATTCTGTTTTGGTAGTTGATACTTTACCTGTTTTTCCAAGATATATGGTGAGCAATAAAAATGGACTGTTAATACTTAAATTGTTATTTGAATACACAGTATTGCTCAGAGAAGTAGACAAACCAAAAAAGAGGCTGTAAGCTTTGCACTTACCTCTGAAGAGCTTAGGATAAAAGGAAGGACCCTGTGGCTCACCCATATAATAGAAGAGAGAAGCCTGGCTTTGCAGAAGGGATACGTTGGGGACTCTTTGGAAAGGAATTTACCAGGTGGCTTCCCTAGACTAGCAGCCTTTAGCCATGGCTGCACACAGCATCCCCAGCCAGGTCAACCCACCCAGCTTGAACAGTCCTCAGCTCTAGGGCCTAGAAGAGCCCAATGTGTGGGTCCTGCAGGTATGCACAGAGCTGGAGCAGTGTTTCTCACCCTGCCAGCAGCTGGCTCTCCGGTGATCTCTACAAACCACCCCTGCGGAGATCCTGACTAAATGAGCCAGGCTGAGGCAGGACTGCAGGGCTTTTTACAGAGAACCCCAAGTAATTTTAACATGCAGCTAAAGTTGGATGCACTGAATTAGGTGTTTGTAGGAACTTTAGGTCTGTGTTGGGCTTCAGGGCTCCTGGGAGCCCCTGAGCTTGCAGACTAACTCATATGCCCAGGCCTTTTTCTGGGTGAGCGTTCATAGCCATCTTCAGGGTCTCTAAATTCCCATGACCCAAGGCAGGATTGAGCAGGCTTTGCATGGCCTCCCTGTGACAGACCTCCTTACAGTCCTTCCCCCATTCATCACTACCCTCCCCTGGCCCTGCTGTCTGGGTGGCTAGGTTTTTATGCCTCAGAGCTGTAAATAATGTTCCAGAATACCCAGAACTCACAGCTTACAGATGTCTTGCACTGTGGTCATCCATTTGTAAATCAGGTGTTTGAAACCTAGGAACACACTTCCCCCAGAGAAACATGCTTATAAATGAGGGTTATTTGCAGCAAAGTGCAGGAGAGAATAATATTACAAACATGTAATATTTCAAATAGGTAGTGGCTTCAGTAGGTTTGTGAGCTCTGCTAGGAAGAAAATCCAGCTCAATCCCCAGCACGTAGTAGGCGTCCAGTAAGCTTGGTGAGTGAATAACTGAGTGGGTAAATGCTGACTGTGAGGATTATGTGTAGGGGAACCTGAAAGAATACGGAGCATGGAAATAAGAAAGGGATTGTTGGGGGGCGCAGAGAGGGTCTGAAGAAAGTGCCTTCTCCCACAGCCAGGTGCCTGCCACCGGCCCAGTTCCCAGCACCTGGCTCTTCGGGAAGCCGTTGTCCCAGGTGGCTTCAGCCCTCAAACTGCAGAGTTCAGCTGGCACTGGCCAGCTCTGGGAGGATGGCTCTGCTGGGACTGTAGCTATAGGAAGAGCCTTTCCCTGCCCAGCACTTGAGGCTGAGCTGGGATTGAACTGTCAATGGTCCAGGCCCCCCTGAATTGTGGAGGGGGAGGTGGTTTCCATGCTAAGGGATCATTTACATTCTCATATCATTTACATAGTTCTCTTCTCCCCTGTGGGCTGCAGGTAGCACAGTCTGGCTGGATGGGGGCACCCCGCCCACTGATGTTCCCCAGGTGAGTCTCTGGGGTCTGCCTGAGCACTGCTGTGCTGCTCTGAGATGCAGAGGGCCAAGCCGTCCACTCTGGGTACCTCCTTGGTGACAGCCATGCTGCCCCCTTCAGGCTCTTCCGTGCAGCTCAGCCCAGAGGCAGGGCCAGGATAAGGGGGGAGAGTTACCCTGCCCCCATTTCTTGAAAATGAAAGTCCAACTTAAGTTTTAATATTTAAAAATAAATTTAAAGATTTCATTGGAGAAAATGAGAAATTAAAAAAGTTGAGCATGGAAAGGGGACTAAAAATCCCTCAACCCATCCTGGAAGTGGGAATGTATTTTTGGGTGTTTCCTCCTGTCTTTTATTAATTTGCAGACACACTGTGTATACATGTGTGTGTACTGTGTACATTTTTCTTTTTCACATTTGGATCCTGATGTGCTTCGTTACTCTTTTCGTTGTCATTGGGGTTTTTTTGTTGTTGTTGTTTTGTTTGTTTTTGGTTTGTTTGTTTTTTTTTGAGACAGGGCTCCCCTGTAGCCCAGCTGGCCTGGAACTTTCTATGTAGACCAGGCTGGCCTCAGTCTCACAGAGATCTGCCTGCCTCTGCCTCCTGAGTACTTGGATTAAAGGTACACACACCACGCCTGTCTTATTTTTGTTTTTACTGAAGCATTTTTCCATCTACCCAGTGCTCTTTAACATGGCTTGTGAGGGAGTGGGAGGGTCCATCCCATGCGTATGTTATTGTTTATGTAGTAAACCCAGAACAAGCTTCACATCCCTTCCAGTCTTTTAGTGTTGTATATAACTAGAGTGACCTCCTTATATAGACTAGAAATTTTTGTGGCATCTATAATGCTTTTTTCAATTCTCTAATTTTTCCCACTAAAAGATTTCTTATTCTGAGGGCTCCCACCCCACCCCAGGCTAGAGTCTTGCTCATATAGTCACTTTATGCCTCAGTTTCCCTAATGTGGAGGGCTATCAGGATGTTCTGAGGGTGACTGAACTGTAAATTCCTTCCTCCAAGTGAAGGCAGAAAGGGGCCTCCCCACCCCTTATGTGTCCTGCCTCTTAATATGGTCCTTGAACACCCACCAGCCCACACCCACTCCCACTTCCCTGCATGAAATCCAGTCCTGGCTGGACAGAACTGCCCAGCAGAAGCTGGGTCACAGACAGCAGAGAACAGGAGCTGCTAGGGCAACTTTAGCAGCTCAGGAACCTCAAAACTGGGTTTTCTCAGAGCTAACCATTTTTGCTCCTCGTGGTTCATAGGTTGGACAGGGAATGGGTGAAGGGATCCTCATTGGAGACGAGGCCGGGCAGCTCCTCTCCCACTCCCCACCTCACTGGCAGCTCTTCTGCTTTCACAGATGGCTGAGGACACTCTCCAGGCACTGCCACCACATTCCCCAGCGCCTTCTGGCCCCAGAAGGATATTCCTAGATGCCAACGTAAAGGAAAGCTACTGCCCCTTGGTGCCCCACACCATGTACTGCCTGCCCCTGTGGCCAGGCATCAACATGGTACTCCTGACTAAGGTACAGAGCCCCTGGCTCACCCTGCCAGTGTTCAGGGCCTGCTTAGCTTCTCATTGGCTGTCCCAGTCCATCCTGGTATCTACTCTTCCTGGCAGAGCCCCAGCACTTCACTGGCCCTGGTCCTGTACCAACTGCTAGATGGCTTCTCCCAGCTGGAGAGGAAGCTGAAGGAGGGCCGGGAGGTGGGAAGTTCCTTACGATCCCAGCCTCTCATGGGAGACCTACGTCAGAAGATGGACAAATTTGTCAAGAATCGGGTTGGACAGGAGATTCAGGTAGGACCTGGAAGCCACGTTCACCCAGCCTTGGGGGAAAGAGGCAGAGCTGGTGACAGGGCCCGCTCATCCCCAGAACATGAGGGACTGACCGCTCTTATTCTGTCCCTGCTCACTTGTTTGTGACCCTTGTTTTCCTCATTATGAAATGATAACAAAAACCAAACATCTGTACCTGATGTTTCAGAACCTTTTTATAGGAGTTTGGCAGACCTCAAATTGCAATTCCCATGTTTTCATCATTGGAAATAGGGACTTGCTTGGATAGTCATGATGTAGTCAAGAATAGCCAGCACATAAGCAGTGAAGCCAGAACTTACCCACCACAGGGCACCCTCCCTGTAGGGGTGACCCGGTCACCTGGGCTCATGGGTGGCTCATGGAATAAAGAACTGGGTGGGGACTGTAACCAGTTACTGAGCGATGTGGGAGTATCAGTGACCAGGCCATCACAGGCACCCAGCAGGGTCCAGCTCAGAGTGAGGAGACTTGAGAGCAGGAGGGCTGTTTTAGCAGCTTGAGGCCTTTGGTGTAACTGGCTGTATCCAGGTCTGTTGGAGGAGCTGGGATTCATTAGGGCTAGGATCCGTGTTGGTCTGAAAGGGGGCAGGATTAGAGGATGCAGAGCAAGTCACTGAAGCCCTGGCTAGTCAACAGTCAACGCAGCATCCCACAGTGCCTTGGTCACTGTGGTAGCACACCTGTTAGAATGCTGAGTTCTCATGCTTTATCGAGAGCCACCCTGGATCCCCTATGAGGCTGTCCAATCTGTTCCCTGGCCACCTACAGCAGCCACTCATCCTCAAAGCCCCATCCATGTGCCCCCTTTGAGGGGCTCACCTAGTCCTCTGGTAGCATTATTATATGTATCTGTGCCTATTGAGGCCAGGAGTCCTGCACTTGGCCCACAGAAATGCATGCATGTGTGTGTATGTATGTATGTATATATATATATGCTAAGTGACTGCCAGGGAGTCCAGCTTGGACTGTATGAGGGCAGGTGTGTATAGAGTATGGTACCCCTCCAGGATATAGGATGGGGTCTCCCCTGGACCTCCTGTGGAACATGTTCTGGAAACTGACCTGTCAATTGTCTTCTTTACAGAGTACCTGGCTGGAGTTTAAGACCAAGGCCTTTTCTAGAAGTGAACCAGGATCATCCTGGGAGTGAGTGGTGGACTCTTGAGTGACAGGGGAGTTGTTCAGAGGGGCATTGTTCTGGGATCTTCTGAGGCTCAGGGGGGATGCAGGTGCTGGAAGGAGAGTCCCAGGTTGCCAGGGGCCAGGCCATGGGGAGGCCAGGCCATGAAGGCCCAATACCAGGCACCAAGGCCTGGGCCTAGCCTAGCTGCAGTACTGACCAGATACCACCTCAGGCAAATCACTTTCCCACAGATTAGCAAAATGATGTGATTCAAGATGTTGTGTGGCAAGGAACACGATGAAGGGAAAGCCAGGCAGCTAAGCCAGGCAGCTGCCTCTCAGCACAGTGAGGGTGTGTGGCCAGAGGCTCTGTCTATCTTTCCCACGGTGTCACTCTGTTCAGTCTGCTCCAGGCATGTGGAAGGCTGAAGCGGCAGCTCTGTGCCATCTACCGGCTCAGCTTCCTGGCCACTGCACCCAACAGGGGAGGTCCACACCTGCCCCAGCACCTGCAGGACCAAGCCCAGAAGCTCATGTGGTAAGTGTGACACACACACAGGAACAGGAGAGAGACAGGGCTCACTCACAGCAGCCTGTGCTTCTGGCTTCCCTTCCTCTTCAGGGAGAGACTGCTGGACTGGAAGGACTTCCTGTTGGTGAAGAGCCAAAGGAATGTCACCATGGTATCATATCCTATGCCTGGCCCACCTGACCCAACAAAGCCTGGAGTCTCCAGGGTTGCAGGCCCTGGGAGAGTTCAGACATATGTTTCACTGCCATGGTGTTTCGTTGTACCCATTCTGTAGGAATATCCCAGAGCTGAAATTTTAGGAATTCTTGCTGTCCCAAGTTCACCTGGAAGCCATTACGATCCTTTATGTCCATGTTTTTTCCATCTAGTAAAATGATAATCATGCTCCATGAGAGCGAGGACAGGATCCCTGTGACCTAGTTGCTTTGAAAGGGTTGTGCCATGCTCCTTAGATCATCACAGTGCCCAATGGCAGGTGAAGGCCTGCTATAAATGTGTGTCCCTGTTTCCAAGACATACACGAGCTCTGTTAATGGAAACTAGTCTACTACTGATTTTGGAGGGAAGTTGAAGCAGTTTTTCCTATATTCACAGCTCCTAAGTTTCAGGCCACAGTCTTCTGGGACTTTGATTTTAAGTAGGTGGGTGAGCAGGAAGCCAGAGGGCCTTTTTAACACCAGCCACTGCCCTTCTTTGGGAGTCTGTTCTCACAGAGGAGATCCTTCCAAGTTCTCAGGTGAGTGGTAGATATGAAGGCAATCACAGTGGGAGTGGGGCAGTCAGCCAGGCTCACTCGTCAGCTAAGCAAGTGACTGTTCACACACCAGCCTCACAATGTGTGTATCTTAAATTCATTTCCAAAGTGACCAGCTGTGAACATGCCATTTTCCTTCCTGTAGGGTTCAGAAGTGCCTATATTAAATGTGCAGGTGGCAAAGATCACAGAGCTTCTTAAGACTGTGGAGCTGGGAGGTGGAAAGATGTAGGGAAAATGGGGGTCCCTGGGGCTTAGCGAAAGGGCCTATGTGAGGGCCAGTGTCTGACACTCCCAGGCCTCAGCTCTGTAAAGCTGGGAACCCAGCACTAGGATAGAGGTGCCCCTACTGTCCCTGGCTCTGTAAGCCCCTTAACTCAGGCCCTCACCTACCTGGAGGACTTTCCAGGCCTGGTGCATTTCATCTACGTGGACCGCACAGCTGGCCAGATGGTGGCTCCTTCTCTTAGCAGCAATGAAAAGACTTCATCAGAGCTGGGCAAGGGGCCCCTAGCTACCTTCGTCAAAGCCAAGGTAACTGTTCCAGGTGCACTTCACTGCTTATCTGGGTGGGATACACTGAGGTCTGACCCTGACCCAGGACAAATAGGCCCCTCTGGGCTCTGAGGCTCTGATCACTTCCAACTTAATCCCTGCTTGTCCACTAGCATTATATGCCCAGTTACACCTGCCATAAGCTCCAAAGTCATAGTGGGTCATCCTGCAGACCCAGTGAGCCTCAGTGCACAGTGGCAACCCCTCTTAGTATATTTCATGTGCCTGACACCCACAAAGTGCTGGGAGCTGGGTCAGAGTAGGACATGGCCACCACCCAGCATAAGTGAATGCTCAGCAAGGATTTGCTAGCTGAACTGGAAAGAAGATCACAGTCAACCAATTTGGGCATCAGTATTTGATGTAATTTTTGTGATGCTGAGTCTAGAACCACAAGACCTCATGTGTACTGAATCTGCATTCTGCTGCTAAGCCACACCTCACCCCAGGCGAATTTAAAACTAGGAGATTACTAGTAAGGAAGCATCCTTTTTCATTCTTTCAATTTAACTGACTCTTCTTCATGATGAAGCACAGATTAGACATACGGACAGATAGATTGTAGGAAGGGGATACTTCTGCAGTTTCTTTAAAAAACCTTTTATTTCAATAAAGTTCATTATGGGTAAAATTATAGCTGGGTGATGAAGGCCTATGTTAGAAAGCCAGATCTGTTCTGGCTGTGTGGCCTTGGGTGTGGTTTACTTATATTTCAGTTTAGTTTATAAGGAGATGATGACATGATTTACCCCATAGGGTTAGTGTAAAGAATGCAGATCACTCAACACAGCCTGTAGTGCCAAACATAGGTGAACTCACAGAGCAGGGCCTGAGTGTAAACTCACTGCAGGGCACCGCCATCTCCCTCCCCAGTTCGCAGTGAGGCAGTCCGGGACTCTGGCCTGTTGCTTTTCCTCAGCTCGCTGCAGTGGCACACCCTCCACATGCGCAGAGTTGGGTGCCATTTTCCCACTTCACATTGTGTTGCGTGCATCTCCTCCTACCATTTAACTTCCCACGCCTGATCTTTAGCTGCTTCAGTGATGCTATGTCATACAAATGTAGCGTAATATACATAACTTTCCCTACTGTGTGAACTTTTAGACTTTGTCCAGGCTTTCACTATTATAAATGATTCTGCAGACACACCTTCCATGCATACATCAAAAGCTTCATCCCTGATTGTTTCCTCAATATGGATTCCCAGAAATGGAAGTACCAAGTCAAATGGGAGGAATCTTAAGGTTACTGATTTGTACTGTCAAGTTGTCTTCCTGAAAAGTATATATCACCGACCCCTGCATCTGCTTGCAGGTTTAATTAGATAGTGTGTTGTATGGTAGAGTGTGGAGTGAATCCTGCATCCTGTCTGGTGAGGCTTTTAGTAAAGTGGGCTTTTCCCAGCCCTGACATGAAGTAGGCAGGCCAAGCAGAAGCCACCTTCCCTCGAGCTGCTCTCAGACAACCTTGGTAACAGCTCCTTCTTTCGGCAGAACATCCCTATAGGGGACCTAAGACAGGAAGTCCCTCAGGGCCACTGTTTTCAGTCACCCTATAGTGAGCCCACATGTCTGGAACAGGTGATTCCTTGGCTTAGGGTTCACTGCATATTTAGCTATGCTTCCCAGCACCTCTAGCACAGAACCTGTGCCATTAGAACTTATGCCATTGCTTCCCAACCCTGTAGGCCTAGGCAGGCCTTCCCAACCCTGAGGCCCTTACGTGGCGGGGGGGGGGGTTGTTGTTCTTATGTTTATTCACAATCTTCTTGGCTATTTTCTGCCCTCAATGAGCATGAATCAGTAAACTCATGGGTCGTATGTATAATAAAGTTATGGGAAGCGTTTTCACACATTTTATCCTCACAGCATCTGGACTATAGCCTTCCCAGGCATCCATCCTGTGATGGTTTTTTTCCTGCTGCTGTGAGCCCAGGCAATGTCCCGACTGAGAAATCTTGGCCTCCTGAAACTCCTCAGCTCTGTACTTCTTTCTTTAGAGTTGGGGCCACCTGGCAGGCCACAGTCCCAAGGGTGGTGGTAAACATTCTCCCTTCCTCAGGTCTGGGATCTGATACGACTGGCACGCAGATACCTGCAGAAGGGATGCACCACAGTGCTATTCCAGGAGGGGGATTTCCGCTGCTCCTACTTCCTGTGGTTCGAGAATGACATGGTGGGTGTGCCAGGTCTCTGGGCAGGATGGTCCTGAGAGGTGACACTGCTCTAAATCCTTGGATACCTTTCTTCTGCGCTGTGCTCAATCTGTCTATCTCATCTCTTCCTGTCCCTGGTGTGGAACAACAGGTAAGCACAGCACTGGGACGTAGAACTGAGCTCACACTATCTAGGCAGTCCAGGTAGAAGTGAAACCAATGAGAGCAAACCAATCCCCTCTTTGAGAAGGAATGCTATACCCTGATGTTAGCTTTGGTTCATACAAAGAGGGGTGCACCATCACCTCTACTATTTGGGAAGATGAGCCTATGTTCAAAGCATTTAACCAGGCCTCCCAAGGGGAGTTGCCAGCAGGGCTCAGGTGCCCTCTGGCCTGGGCTGCAGTGCAGCAGGGTCACTGGAATCCACTGTCTGGGGAACCTCTCCCCACCCCCTCTCTTTTCCTCTCCTCTCATTTATCTTAATGTTTTCCCCTCACTTGTTGCTATAGTCTAAGGGTCATTTCCTCCATCCCCACAGCCTCTTGATTATTTGTCCTGCTCCTGTCCCCTGTCTAGCTCTTGACCTGCTCTCACCACTCCCAGAGGGTGACAATTCACCCTTTCCATAGTGCAGTGTGATTGTCAGGCCCTTCATGACTGTTCTCTCACACCCCTAGGAAGTGGTTGGAACAGGTTTTGTTGACCCCAATTTTGCAGATAGGGACACACTACTGCCTCAGAGACCCAAGTGATGGTTCCAGAACCCAAGCTTCACTGTCCTGGCCCTCATATTCCTGTCTTTGCTTTGTGCTCTCAAGTGCTAGAAAGTTCCTTTGATACCTAACCTGCTTCTGGGGACAAGGATTCTGGGGCTGGAATGGCTCCGTGGGACAGTGGAATGCATCACAGCTGTGGGTGGCAGTCTGAGGTTTGACTGCTGACTGCAGCCCTCAGCCCTCATAGGGGTACATGGTCCCTGAACACTTCTGAGCCATTTCCCCATGGGGTGAGCCTGTGGTACCACCCAAGCATCAGGTGAAAGCCTTTGTAGGAGAACCATGGTTGTGTACATACCCAACAGATCTTAGTTTCCTCTCCCACCTCGTCCTACCCTAGGAATTTCCATGTCTTTCAAAGCAGAGACCTTTGAAAGCAGTCCTTTTGGAATGCTTTACATCTCAGGACCCTACCTGACATTCCACCCTACACCCCCATCACCCTTGCTGAGTCTTCCCATGCTCCTCACTAACCCAGGTTCACTTGTTGATGGTAGTGTGAGCTGCAACCAGGTGCCACATTCATGGACATTCATGAGTCCATCAAATGTCCATCTAAACCTCATGGGCATTCTGTTTATAAGGTAATGGCTGTTTCTGTCTCCCACATGCGGGAAGAAGACAAAACAGAGGTACAGACATTGTCCTCAGCACTGAGCACACAGCAAGGCCATGCCAGGGCTGGTACATCTCCCTCAAGCCTGTCTTCACTCATACCCACTGTCTTCCTGTTGTAAGACCCTCCTCCTCCCACAGGGCTACAAACTGCAGATGATTGATGTGCCTGTCCTCTCAGATGACTCCATCCCCATTGGCGTGCTGGGAGGAGACTACTACAGGTGATGCTGGCTCGGCACTGGAGCCCTGTGTGCCCTGGATGTTGGTGATGAGAGCCAACATCCCTGTGGGTGGCAGCTCCTCCTAGAGTGAGCCACCTGATAGGAGTCCCCTGTGACTGACAGCCCCTCAAGGCCAGCCCAGCATCCCATAAGGAAGGAAGCACCCCAGAGCTTACCAGAGTCCCTACTCTCCTGATACTAGCACAGCCTTGGCAGCATGGGGGTCCTCAGTAATGGCTGCAAACTTCACTCACACACACGCATGCATGCACACCTCATAGCTACAATTAAGGAGTCCCAAGGGAGGACCATGGTCCTAGGTTGATCTTGGAGCTTAGGTCAGTAAAGAGCAGGAGGTGGCATTGCACACAGTCCTGATGGTACTGAGAAGACTATGGGATAGGCATCTGGAGGCCTGCATAACCAGAGAGGCCCTGGCCTTAGTGGAGGGCCATGGCCTTGGCCTGAATCCTGTTCTGTTTTCCCCCAGGAAGCTCCTACGCTACTACAGCAACAGCTGCCCTACAGAAGCCATCAGGTGCTACGAGCTGCTAACTTTGCACCTGTCTGTCATCCCCACTGACCTACTGGTACATCAAGCCAGTCAGCTGGCCCGGCGCCTGGGGGAGGCTTCACATGTGCCCCTGCCCTAGGTCAGAGTGTACTGTCCTCTGTGCCTGAGCTCCAGCCACCCTGATTGCAGATATTCCCCCACAGCTTGGCCTCATTGTATCCTTGGTATCTACCTGAAGGTGTGCAGACACCCCAGGGCAGCCCTGGGTGTCTCATACCCCACCTGGACCCCCTTCACACAGACTGATAAAGAAGCTCCCTTCCTAAAACCTCCCTGGAGGGAGGGGGACACCATAGCCTCTGTTGGTCTCCATAAATAAGAGTGCTGTAAGGTCAGAAATAGCAGGAGTTCATTTCACAGCTAGCTGCCTGTCTGGGTCACCAGGAGAATAGGAAGCAAGTCCCTAGTGCTCAGGCTGTCTGAAGTCACCCTTTCCTGCTGTTCTGGGCGGAGAGTAGTTGCTTCCTACCCCAGATAAAAGGTGCTCCACTGGGTAGTTGGAATTCCAGCTGTGCCCCCCCCCCAGCCTCCCCCAGCGGTTCTGGGTGAAAACAGTAACACCTACCTCTC